GTTAATATTGTATTTGTTTGGCTCCGTTATTTTATACTCTCCACCATATTTCAACCTTCTAAATTATAGTTTATTCTCTCTTAATTAAAAGGTCTCAAAATCTTGTGTAACTATTTTAAGTAAATAGAACCCGAAATAAAAAGGAGTACAATCATTATAAAAATATATAATATTAGGAATAATATTATTATAGTTTTAGTATACAAGTATTCCAAAAATATAAAATTTTTGCTAAAAAAAGAAAAAGGGGGGGGGGGATTTTGAGAGAAAAAACTGCACCAGAAAGTGATATGTGTCATTCCTGTTTTAGTATTATGTTATTGATATGAAGTTCCAAGAGCTTATCATTCATATATTGTCAATATTAAATAACTTAAACATATACAATGACTGATTTGGAAAAAAATTATATTATGGGTCAAATAAGGTATGTTAAATTAGTTCTATAAAAAGGGACAAAGGGCTTTTAACTAAAAACCACGGTAATAAACATTAATAATGTATCTCTATTATATAACTGAAGAGGAGAGGGAGAAAAAAGTTTGGTGTCCAAATTATGGAAGTAATACCCAAAATATCCATCCTTCAAACCTTCACTTTCCATTTTCTTTTTTTGTTTTTTGAAAAAAAATACTTAAAATAATTTAGGCAATTAATTAAAAATAATGATTTATGAATCTTGACAAAAACAGAGTTATTTAACCTTATTGACAATTCATTGATTGACTTAGAAAAATATTTTAGGCAATAAAAAAAAAATACTCCCTCAGTTCTTAAAAGTTCGACTCACTTTGTATTTGCACGATCTCCATTGAACATCTTTGACCATCAATAACTTCAGCTATGTATAAGTAAAAATTTTAAAAAGTTGATGTTTGAAAAATTTATCATAAGGGGAATCTAATAAGATCAAACATGTTAATTTATTTTGATTATATAAATCATAAAATCTGGTCAAAGTTATTTTATTTTGACCACATGAATAGTAAGTGAGTCAAACTTTTAGAAACGGAAGTAGTAGAATATTTTGAAATCTTGAAAATTAGGAAAGAAAATATAATAGAAAGATATTTTTATTTTTTTTTTGAAATTCCATCATTATTGTCATTATTAAGGTAAATCGATACACTCATAATTATATATTGAGGTAAAAGTATAATTGTTTGTATATTTTGATCAATTTATTTGAATGCCTATTATACAAGGGAATAAATTATGAGTGAAAATCTGACGACCAAATTTTAAAAATACTCAAAATTATAATATTTCCTTTATCATTTTAGCGAGTATTCAAAAGAAAAATTAAAAAATGGTTTAGACAATTAGAAAATCTTTATTATATAATTTAAGTCAAGGGAGAGGGGGAGCGAAAAGTCGGTGTCCAACTTTTGAACTACTTAAACAGCCCCTAAAAGCAAAACAAACAAAAAAAAAAAAAAATTTGCATTTGGCGTAATAAAGTTTCCAATCTTTCAAAAAAAAAAATAATGTAAGTTTCCAAAATTTCAAATTATTATTCCATTTAATAAGAAAGAAAAAAAAGTTATTTATATAAATATCTCAATCAATTAACAATCACATTATAATCAATATATTGTTTTCAAATTTGGAGTTGTTTTAATCTTATGTTATTGTTGAATCGATCACTAATGCAATAATTTTTCTATCATTTTCATCCATATATCACAATGCATAGAATTAGTTTAAAATTATGTATTAGCAATTCACCATATTCACTATTCAATTATTTATAGATTCGTAATTTTAGTATTATAAGAAGTTTTAGAAATCTTTTATTTAGTATTTATCTAGCATCTATACAAATAATACAGAGTGTATGGCCAAAATAATTAGATTCACCCCGTATATTTTTTTACTTCTTTATTTATTTTTTTAAGCTGAAATCATGATAAGCTTTAAAAATTTGTTAAAGCTTTTATGTGGCGATAATACTCATACTATTGAATTTATATATAGATCTTAGTAACATGTTTTTTAAGTTTTCAACTAATCATTTCTGATAGAATCCTATAAGAGGTATTTACCTAGCTTGAATATTTGTTTTACAATATTGAATATGAATTTCTTAATTGTGATTACATACATTTGAATATAAAGCACACATTGCACGTATAAATTTCTAGTTACATGCATAAACCAACTAGGCTACCTTATTTTAGTGTTAAGTTAGGCGGTCCTATTTTGTTCATTTTAATTTTACTTATTTCAAGTACTTAGTTTCATAAGTTCGGTTTGAGATAAGTTTGGGTAAGTTAAGTTTAGAAGAAAAAAAAAAAAAAAAGTTGTAATAAGAGTTGATAAACCCAAATTTAAATTACAACAAAGATAAGTTTTGATAAGGTCTATTAATATAATTTAAGTAAGTTCAAATACGATAAAATAAATTCAAATAATTGAAAATCAGGTGAATAGAACACTGTTACTCCAACGTATAAGAATATTACACTATGTGATGTTTTGATCCATAGTGCAGACTACACCCGGGTAGCCTCCCCTTGGCTCTGTCCATATTGCATGACCATATTCTAAATTATAAAAATTGTTAAGATTTTAGATGGAAAAAAAAATAATAAATAAAAAAATAAAAAAATCAAAATTAATCAAAATTTAATATGAAAAAGTCAAAATCTGACATGAAAAAAAAATCATAATCTAATATTTTTACTATAAACTGGACTTACTGTGAATACGGTGCCACACAATATCTTATATTTTTTAAATGTATGATGACACAGAATAATAGCCAATAAAGAAAGTTGCAAGAGTGCCACGTTGTATGTGGACTTAATTTGAAATGCTTTTTAATAAAGATTTATAAACTTATAAATTATAGATTATAGATATTATTTAATACAACTCACGTTTTTCCTTTTGAAAATCATGTTATACTGTTATACATTGCTTATAGCAACAAGATGTACCTTCTTCTTAAGGAGCTCATACACTAAAAATAATTCACAATTTCGGGTGCTTTAGGTTTGATTTATCTAGTAATACACAGATGTTAAAAGATCAAATTCGAATCGGGTGGAGCTTCACCTACTCAAATATCATTTGTGAAAAAATCTGCAATAATTCTAAACTAAGATAATTTCTACGAAATTGTGTAAATTACCACCCTTCAAAACACCATATTTTGTTAACCACCCGTTTTTTTCCCATTAATTTTATTTAACCACGTACAAAGCGCAAAAAAAATAAAATTTCACCACCTCTTAACACGTTAAATTCTATTTTTTAAAAAAAAGATTTTCGTGCCGAATACTTGCTCAATTAAGGTTTTGGGGGGTCATTATCCCATTGGTCCAATTTAAGGTCAAAATTAAAAAAAAATATTGAAATGCCTCATTCACATACAAAAAATAACATAATAAAAATGCCTCATTTTGCATAAAAAAATGTCGATTTCATTGAAGCACACAAAAAGAGGAATATTTTTATTCTTTTTGTTAGTTTTTGACCTCAACTTGAATCTTATTGGATCAAAATAAACCCCAAAACCTTAAAAGAACAAGTTTGACACAAAAATCGATAATTTTTTTTTTATCCGGGCTTATTGGTTTCCTTTAATATGTGGTGAAATTTATTTATTTATTTTTTTTGCCTTGTTGTAGTTGGTTAAATAAAATAAACAAAAGATTTCGTGGTTAAATCAAAATGCAGTGTTTTGAGGGGACATAAAATACAAATTAACATAGTTTCTACAGTGAAAAATTATTTTTATTAAGGAGTATAGGAAAAGACGATAACAAAAAACCGCTTAATATTTATTATATGTAACAAAATACAAGTATAAGGCCATGTTTACTTCACTTTAAATTTAGTAAAAATAATTTTAGTTTAATAAAAATAAGTTCATTTTAGTAAAATAAGTTCTTTGCAGTAAAAATCAAATCAATAACGGTAAAGAAAAAAATATTAAAGGGAATCGATAAAATAGTTTTATTTTAGTAAGATTAATTTCAGTAAATAATTTCAATTTAATAAATATAATTTAAGTTAAGAAAAAATATTTTAGTGCAATAAAAAAGATTTTAGTGCTGCAAATACAAGGTGAAGTGAACAGGGCCTAAGTCTTTTTCTTGCATATTTTGTAGATTTATATAAAAAATTTTGGACAAAAAATATATTTATGTATGTTAAATGGGTGGGTAGATGATTAATAGGTGGAGTGGAGCACTCCAGATCTCATGCGATGCGACCTATCACTCACTTTTTATCCATTTACTATAGGCTTCGTCCATTTATTTAAAACGAACAGATTGAATTAGTGTATCCTTTTATTATTGTCAATCCTTTTGGGATGGATGACCTACCAGAAGTTTTTTGTAAGGTGCACACGAGTGAGGCCAAGGGCAAAATGCGTAAAAACAAAAGGAGGAGGAGGAAAAAAAAAAAAAAAAAACTTAAGTCAGTATGTAAAGATAATCGTTGGTCCTAAATTTGCATTTGAGGACTAATAACTCTAACTCAATTCGGGCTTCTGGTGTTACATATGGTATCAAGGCACCCATTACTAGGTGAACTTTGGTATAATTGTATAAACTTAGATTAGCCACTTAGCATGGGGAATTCTGGATGGGAATACAATGTAACAAAATGTTTTCATTGAAATTTTTTGGAAATGCTTAACAAAGTCACTCATCAATCATTATAATTAATATTTTCACTTTTAGCTCCTCGGTCCAAAATATTGTATGAATCAAATTTATTATAACAACTCAGGTATGAATTGTACATTGACAATCGTGGAAAATATAAACTAGAAAATTTTTAAGGAACAAAACATAGGGACTTTAATATAGTTAAACAACTAATTAGTTAAAGCAATAATAAATATAGTCATGACTTTAATAATACTCGACACTTAAGTAGAAACATGTCTACATTCAATTTTTATGTTTCTTACAAATGAGAAAGCAAACAAAACAACAAAAAAAATGTGGATTGACTATTACTTGTTATTTAACCTTTGAGGTACATCTAATACTACTCCTACTCTACTAAATACATACTCTAGTACAATAACAAACTCATCCATTCATTGCATGGAAAATAAAAAATAAAACGCCTTAAACGGTGAATTAAAAGGCAGCATGGCATAACCCCACACATTAATTAATTAAGCCTTATTAAAAAAAAAGAAAAAAAAAAAAGAAAGTTGCAATAGATAAATACTCCGTAATAATTAAATAAATTAGGAAATTTCCACCTTGACTTCATCTATATATATTCACTCAAATTAAACAACTTCCTCGTTCGATCAAATATTAATTCCCTCTCTCTTAAAATACTTTTCTTACCCTCCAAACAAACCCTTATTGTTTATTTCCTACAACTTCCTAAAAATAACATACCCATAATTCTGAAATTAGAAATTTCATCTTTTACTAGCAAATTCACTCATGGGTGAGGTTAGTTTTCCTCATTTCTCTTCATTTCTTCATTAAAGTTTTAATCTTTATTAATTTTATACCAAATAACTTGAATTTATTTTATGGGCAGAAACAAGATGGAGATCAGAAGAACAATGATGGACCCAAAAAGGGCGGTGGCGGTGGCGGTGGTGACGGCGGTTCAACCACCGTGGTTTTGAAGTTTGATATGCATTGTGAAGGTTGTGCTAAGAAAGTCCGACGATCAATCAAGAATTTTAATGGTAAGATTTCATTGACATTTCTTAATCCATGAAATTAATGAATATTCAATTTTACTTTTAATTTTACAATTTACACATGTAATTAATTTAACCGGTTAAATGTTCTTCCTAGTTTGCCGTTTCAGTTTTGAACATTTCCGAATTATTATCATTATGTTTTAATTTTGAAAAAAATAGAACCGTTAGTCCTTTACCAATACTTGTTTGGTATAGCGTACCGGATCAAATCCCGCCTACATCATTAAATTCTGCTGTGGATTCTGTTTGCAGCGGAATTGTAAACCGATTTCACTAAAGGTTTGTTTGGTGTGTGAAATTGTAGGAGTGGAAAGTATAAAGACGGATTGTTCAGCAGGCAAACTAACGGTGGTTGGGAAAGTGGACCCAGTAAAGATTAAGGAAAGAGTGGAGGAGAAAACTAAGAAGAAGGTGGAATTGTTATCTTTTCAACCAAATAAACCGCCTAATAAGGAAGGCAGCGGCGGTGGCGGAGGTGGTGAGAAAAAGTCCGATGGCGGTGGCAGCGGTGGTGGTGAGAAAAAGTCAGAAGCAAAATCTGACGATAAGAAGTCTGAGGATAAGAAGGAGAAAGAGAAGGAAAAGCCTAAAGAGGTATTTTATTTATTTATTTGATTAATTTTGTTTTGAGCTGCTCTGTTTTTGACTTCTTCCTTTATTTTTAATTAGTGATTTTACATGGTTCACAAATTAGATTACATAAAAGGTTAATTGTATGGCTAAAAAGATTGATAAAAGTTCAATTACTTTTAAGGAAAATGATACCCAGTAAATACAAAGCTAAAAGTGGAAATAGTATGCAATTAACTTTAATTACAATGATCGATGCTTGATTTTGACATGTATTTGTATATCTATATCGATTTAAGCAAGTTATTAAATGCTTGTATGTAATAGTAACGTCCTTAAGCTTGTATATAACGTTACATGTCAAAATAAAGGGTATATTTGGTATATTCTTATGTTTCATCTTTTGTGTTGTGAACTTTAGTATAATCTTTGCTTGTTGCTTGTATAAAACATGTTAATATTGGGTCTACTTTATCCACAACAATATGTGTTATCTAAGAACTCAAGTTTAGTATGACTAGTTTTGTATAGCGTATGGTAATATCTTACCAAAAATTAGTTGAAGAGTTTTGCTTAATGTATAAGCATCAAATATACATTTTCTAATAGTGTTACAGTATATTGATATGTGAATTTATAACATTTAACATGCCATGTTTGGAAGAATCTCATGGTTGTTAAAATGTCAACTTATTACCTAATTGAAACTATGATAGGATAGAACCAGTGTGTGTGTGCTAGGAGCGTGCTCATGATCGATTAATAGCATTTATTCTGTGTGCTCGAAATTAAAAATACTTCATAATTGATTTCCTAATTTTGTTATAGAGAATGTCACATTGTGCCACCTATTATGACAGACCGAGCAAATACTCTTTTATATTCGTATTTTAATTTAGTTGTCACATCTCTAGTTTAAACTAACTATTAATTACACCGTCAAACGTGACTTATGGATTCGAGTGAATGGAATATTTCGTTTTCTACCTTCAAATACATAGCCATCCATATAGACTATAAATGGTTTGATTATAACATTTTAACTGAAGGTCCAACTTGATTCATGCCGAAAGGATATTGTTACACCAAGTAAAATCAATTAATTAATAGTTTGGTAGTTTTTGTTTTTGTTTTCTTTCCTCCATTCTAATAAGGCCAATCCACTAATAATGATTATCAACGTAATCAGACTAATAAATTAAGTGTTTTTGTATTTAAGCACAGCTAACGTATTTGTCGCGCTATCGTATTTCTTCTGGCTTAGAGAACATTGGTGGACGAAACGATTCGATTCTGTTGATTACGTACTTACAATTGGTGGGATTAGTTAAGCTATAATTTGAATAATTAATCGCGGAAATTATTTATTTAAATCTTTTTCATGTTTCTTAATTAATTTTTAATTTCTATACAACACTTGTTAGTTCATCCGTGTAAGTATTGATACTGATGTATTTGTTGAATGGGTATAGAGAAAAATTTAAATTATTAGTCTTAATCTATATTTGATGCTGATTAACTTATTATAAAATTTTATTAAAATTATTATTTATTGGAGAAATTAAGGTGGATGATGTATGTATCGTCATTAATAATCTTTTTTGTTGATTGACATTTACTAACTTTATTTTAAAAAATAATTGGTTTATGCAGCCTCAAGTCGCTACCGTATTATTGAAGACGAGGGTACACTGTGAAGGATGTGCTCAGAAAATTAAGAAAATTGTCGCCAAGTGTGATGGTGAGTGATTTTGATTTACAAACTTTAGCATGCTTTACTAGCCAATCATCGTTTTTGTGCTAATTAAATTCACTAGAAATTTCATTATTTTTATACGACTAATACGAGTACATATACAAAATACTACGTACATTTTCTTAAACGGTTACACTGATAAATATAATTGGTACAAGTATTACATAAATCTCGTGAATAGGGTATTTCAATGTTTCTTTTTCTTACCTTCAAAAAGAAATTAATAGTACATAAATTGTTTTTATTGTTTGACTTTTAAATACTCGTATAATTAAAGAATAAAGATATTAGATTGAAAAATCATTTTACTTTTTTTTGTTATAAGTATGTTTGGACGCTTATGATTAGTTGATTTACTTTATAAAACTCTTTATTAATTCAACTTTTTCTCATCCTCACAACTACTACTCAATTTCAATATGATAATTTATGAAATTTGTAAATAAATAGTTATTTCAAATTTTGTACTATAATAATTTAAGTGGACCATAAATCAAACTTTTAGAATAGTAGAATTTGGAATTGTTATTATGTGGTACACGGTGTCACCATACAAGCATTTGTGCATAGAAACAAAATTTGATTCCTCCTCTCAAATATAAGAGTGTCAAATTGACGCGTCTTACAAGTAAAGACGAAGGCACCTTACTTAACTTTTTAGTTAGGAACTTTCTTGTACAATTGAGAGAATTTAAACCAAATTTTTGTACTCGTAATTATTAAAATTCAAATTGAAGTAAAAGAAAGCAAAGGAACATTTTGTTTTTTTTTATTATTAATAATTTTTGTTGATAAATTTCTTATATTTGTTTTGATTTGGTAGGTGTACAAGATGTTAATGTGGACTTACAAAAGGATACAATTACGGTCAAGGGGTCAATGAACATGAAAGAGATGTTACCTTACTTGAATGTAAAGCTAAAGAGAAATGTAGAGCTTGCTGCTCCGGCAAAGAAGGATGAAGGAGCTGGCGGGGACAAGAAAGGCAAGGAAGGTGGCAGAGATAAAGAAAAACCTAAAGAAGGTGGTGGTGGTGGTGGAACATCTGATAAGCCGAAAGAAGGTGGTGAAAAGACTAAAGGAGGTGGTGAGAACATGGAAGGCGGTGGTGGAGGACAAAAGAAAGACAGGGGAGAAGGAAAGGCAGAAAATGTGACTAAAATCGAGGTTAACAAAATGGAGTATAATCCTTATGCTTATGGGTTTGGTGCTCATGCATACACTTATGACCCAAGGCAGCATGGGGAAAGCAGCAGCTATAGTCACCAAGTTACAGACTATTGGCACGAACCCGAGTACTCTCAGCCACCCCAGATGTTCAGTGATGAGAATCCGAACGCCTGCTCTATTATGTGATCGGGTTAGGATATGGATTGTTTTGGTTTAGTCTAGTTCTACCACTTATTAAACTTGTATATACTTAATTAGTGAGGCAAATCTTTATGGAGGATGATAATATATCTAACAAGAGCTGAGCTACCTAGCCCTTTTCTGTTCTTTTTCTCTTGGAAAATTTTATGTATTAGCATGGGAGTGGAAAGGAGATTACTTCAATACTTATGTAAAATTTTGTGTTGGTAAGAAAGGAAAAGAGGTGGTAAAATGACTGAAGTTTTATAGAAATGTTTTTGCTTTTGTACATATATTAATGTGATGATCAATAATAACACTTTGATACTTTGTTTTAAGATCATATGGCCTTGTTTGATATATATATATATATATATATATATATATATATATATATATATATATATATATATAATATATATATATATATATATATATATATATATATATATATATATATATATATATATATATATATATTTTTTGTGAACAACTACCCATAAGATGACAAAGGTTTGTCTAGCACTACCCATTAATAGATTCCGTCCAATTGTGTCGTTTATAGGGCCCACGCCTAATATTTCCCCCTAATTAACTCCTTCTCCAAGTACCTCTCTCCTCCTTTCACCATTTTTACTTCTCTTCATAGACCTTGTACCTTTCACCATCTTAATCTAACCTAAGCGAATTTTTGTGCTCCAAATTTGTTCCCTTTTTAATAAATTAACAAGGCTTAAAACCCATTTTCTTTCCTCTCACAGCTATCTCTCTCTTTCCTACTCATCCAATTCAATTCAAACCCTAACCCTAAATAAGCAAAACCCATAATTCAATTCAAACCCTAAGCCCTAGAAATTAAAATCTCCAAACTAAATTGAAACCCTAAACCATAAATTAAATCTCTAATTATGTTAATTAAAGTAAATTAAAACCCCTAAACAATTCAAAGAGATCAAGAATTAAATCAGTGGCTTAAAACATTAACTAATTTAGTGAAATATTGTGTTGAATTGATCGATTTTTTTTTTTCCAGGTTTTTTGGATGGCTTTAGGGTTCTTGGGGAGGGAGTTAATAAGGGGAGAAATCGTAAAAGTGGGCCCCATAAACGACACAATTGGACGGAATCCACTAATGGGTAGTGCTAGACAAACGTTTGTCATCTTATGGGTAGTTGTTCACAAATAAAAAAAAAGGGTAGTTGTTCACAAAACAACCTATCTTTGGGGTAGTTTTTCACAAAATTTCCACAAGTAACCTCTAAATAAATAACCTCGGTCACATGGTGTGGCTTGCAACATATATAAAGTTTGTGTAAAACAAATTGTAAATTTCCAGTCATTTGTTATATCTTTAGATAAAAAATCCTAATGTCAAAAGATAATATTTTATATTGAATTTACTCTAAAATCCCATTCACCAATTTTGCTTATGTAGCATTTGGATTATTTTATTCTAAAAGAAATCACAAATCTCTTATTTAATTGGTTATAACTAAAACTTATAATCATACACGGCATGTTAAAAAAATTAGAATACTATATAGAGCTCTAAAAACTCGGGAAATACTCCCATATATATATATATATACATATATAAATAATAGATTTTTTTTTCATTGGTTAAAATAATGCCTTTGTACATGTTATATTATCCGTCAGATATTAGGATAAAAAATTTTAATGTGAAAATATTTTTTTTTAATAATTTAAATAATCCTAAATCACTGTTCGTTTTTATTTTTTTTTATTTACCAATGTGACTCATAAATTAAACTCGCAAATCTTATTTGTTGGTCAGTGTTATAGCCACATAACCACAGGGTGTGGCCAACCGCGCACACACAAAATGTGCTCAATAATTAGTGTTAAATGATATTTTCTTTTCATTTTTTTTATATAATTTAAATCTTAAATAGTAGTTTTTAACCAAGCACTTGAAACTACACTATCAAATTTCATTCATTAATTTTGTTAATATGACAATTTATTTTTAATATTAAGATAAAGCATAATTTTTCTTCATTGGTTAAAATTTGTCTTTATATATGTTATCTCATATGATGGATATTAGGATAAAAATTTTAATTTGAAAAGATATATATTTTTCCTTAATAATTTAAATGTTGAATCACTGTTTGTAGATTTTTTGTTAACCTACCCATATGTATAATTAAATATCACAAATCTCATTTGTTAATTTGCATACTTGACGATTGATTAAGTCAAATATATTAGCTTTTTTTCATTGGTCAAAATAATTCCTTTGTATATGTTATATTATCCGTTCGATATTAGGATAAAATTTTTAATGTAAAAAGATTTTTTTTTTAAAAATAATTTAAATAATCCTAAATCACTATTTGATATTTTTTCCTCAAAAAAATAAATTATTATTCGTTATTTTTTTTACCTACGTGGCACATAATATTAAACTCTCAAATCTTATTCGTCTGTCAATGTTATAGCCATATCACCACATGGCGTGGCCGACCACACACAAAACACGCTGAACAATTAATGTTAAATAATATTTTATTTTATTTTTATTTTATTTTTTATTATTTTTTTATATAATTTAAATCTTAAATAGTTTTTTTACCTAGCACTTGAAACTACAATATCAAATTTCATCAATTAATTTTATTTATATGACGATTTATTTTTTAATACTAAAATAAAAGGTAAATTATTTTTCATTGGTTAATTAAAATAATGTCTGTATATATGTTATTTGATATGATGGATATTAGGATAAAATTTTAATGTGAAAAGATAATTTTTTTTCTGTAAAATAATTTAAATACTAAATCACTATTTGTAGATTTTTTATTAACCTACGTTGCATATAAAATTAAATATCTCAAAAACTCATTTGTTAATTTGCATACGTGCCGATTGATAGGTCCGTGCGATATATATATCCACCTTCTCTCGAACAAAATGGATATCCATTTCTACATGCTTGGTGCGTTGGTGTTGCACGGGATTATGAGAAGATAAGATGCAGTGACATCATCACAATAAACAACTGTAGCCTGACAAAGAGGACAATGTAACTCAAGTAATAAATTACGAAGCTAACATGCCTCGGTAATAACACTTGTGATGCCTCTATATTATGCTTCTGCACTTGACCTTGAAAGAGTAGCCTGACGCTTAAAGGACCAAGAAATAAGATTGTCACCTAAAAAGTAACAATATTTCAGAAGTCAAGCGACGAGTGTTAGGACACTCGCCCTAATCTACATCAGTATAGGTTATCAAGTTTGATGGAGAAGAAGGATATTGATGTAACCCGTGATCAATGGAGCCCTAAATATATCGCAGGATGCGCTTTAGTGTATCATAATGAGCCTCTTTGGGGTCATGCTGAATAAACAAACCTGCTGAATAGCATAAGTAATATCAGGGGGAGTAAAAGTAAGGTATTGTAAAGCACATGCAAGATTGCGATATAGTGTTGGATCATGAAATTTGGGACCAGACTCTGCATTAGGTTTGGATTGAGTATCCACTAGAGTCACCGCAGGTTTACAATTGGCCATACATGTGCGCTCCAAAATTTCCTGTGCATATTTCTGCTGAGATAGACACAAGTATGATGGAGTACGAGCTACAACAATGCCAAGGAAATAATTTAAGGGACCCAAGTGATACGAAGAAAGATGTTAAGTCGTTGGTATTCTTCCTATCAAATTAACCTACCACCAAGATACCAAGTATAGCGATAAATAGGGTCGAGATCCACAAGGAAACGGTGATCGACACAAATAGACGGGACTAAAGAGCCCTAAGGATGGTGTGTATAATCCCAGTGAGAGAGATTGAACCATCAATCATAAAAACACGAACAAACGACACAAAATAAACAAACAAAGAGGAATGTAAACAAGGTGAGACAAGCGCTAGGGGGCACGGGGGTTCCAAACATGGTCAACATATCAACATAATGACGAAATTCAAGATTAATAGGCCAAGGAATATGAAACACTCTACTTAAACAACTCATTCCCATGCAATTGTTCAAGCAAATTGATAATTGGGGTCTAATACCTAAATCAATTCACTTCCATGACTTCAAAATAGGCAACAAATCAATATTTGGGAATTAAAAGTGCACTCAATATCCCAAGCAAAGAATAACACAATCATCAATTCAAGGCAATAAATTCAATCATTCATCATCATCTAGTCAACATCAACGCATGTTCTTCACCCCCTTCCCCTAGCTAGAAATCTAGCTAGAGAAGGAAGAAGAACTATTGAAACTAAGAAAGAAGAAACAACTAACAACACAAAGCTAAACAACATTCATAAACAAGGATGAACAAAACAAGGCAACAAAACTAAACCACAAACAAAGATAACAATCAAAATAGAAAGCAATAAACAAACTAAAGAGAAAAGAGGAAAGAAATTACTCAATAAAAGCTTTGATTGAGATTAACTTCAAAAGAAATCAAGTGTTGCAATGGAGAATTGAAGATTACACTACTTTCTCTCTCTAGAAAACTAGGTTAACCTCTCTAGATTGAATAGAGTGGCTAATTACATCCAAAAGGGTATTTATACCCCCTCATTAAAACCCCTAACAACCTAGAAAAGTGGACTCAAAAGCGGCGCAAAACCGACCTAGAGGAGCGGCTGCTCTACCATATTGGAGCGGTCGCTCCAGTCGAGGGGTGAGGTTGCTTCATATGCTAGAGCGGTCGCTCCAAGCTCTCTGCTCGAATTCTTCGATATGAAGTGGAGCGGCCACTCTACTAGGGTAGAGCGACCGCTCCAAACTCTCTATATTAAGGCAAATGTCCTTTTCAAAAGCTCCACTTTCGCTCCTCAAGTCCTGGTCTTCACATGGCTTGAGTTAGCTTGCAAAGTATCATTCCGAAGCAACCTTAAATATGCACTCAAGCACACTTGTAAGAAGATAGGGGAGAGGGATCTCCATCATGCAATTAGAACACTCATAAAAACAAGTAAAAAAAGCCAAAACATGCACAAAAAGGCTAACCATAAAAAAAGAGGAACAATGAGAGAAAAAGGGGGTAAAGTAAGGATAAAAAGGGCTTGGAGGCCGAGAAAGAGACTAAATATAAGGGTATATGAAGCAAATAAGTGGTCTTTTAGACCACTTATCACCAAGTCAGTCATCGAAAACCCTGTGCGGAAATTTGAAATGATGTTCTGACGTAGCCTATCAGAAAAAGTAACCAACACAATATCATCAACATACAACAACAAATATGCCATATCGCTCCTATGTCGGAAAATGAATAATGAATTGTCACTCTTA